AGATTAAGCTTCAGGGTGGATATAGCTCACAAGCAGCCTCGCACTGATGACCTATCCACATCATAATTTACCCAGAATACTTTGCATGTAAATTAAATGGCCCCACCCGTGTGACATATTTTTAAACTTTTAGTTTAAAAACTGTAAAAACTAAACGGCCTACAGTATTTTTACAGTCTTTATTTTACAGTTAAAATATATGTTTATCAAATAAAGTCTAATGTTACAACTAATCAGGGATCCCTTTAACTGCAAATGCTGCTTCAAATATGAAGAAACAAAATGATGAAAGTGGGCGGAGCAGAATAAAGTCAATAGTTTGGCACATTAATAGAAATGTTTTTACTCTTTGCAGGATGGACCTGGATTCTATACAACAAGATGTTTGGCTCCTTTGTTGGCTGAAGCTATACGAGTGCTTCAGGTTAGTCGTGTTGCAGCCCCAACTTTGGCTGTTTGCACAATATGCTAATATATCAAATTGCTGTAGAGTCATTCTTTTTTTTTTTTTTTACCTATATTACTCACTAATTTATCTTTGTTCACATGCAGGAAGGTGTTGACCTCAAGAAGTTGGATGCACTCACAACAGGCTTTGGGTTCCCCGTGGGTGCCGCCACGCTGGCTGATGAGGTCGGTATTGATGTTGCGGCGCATGTAGCCGAAGACCTGGGGAAAGCTTTCGGCTCCCGCTTTGGTGGTGGAAATGTGGAGGTTTTAAAAACCATGGTGGACCTGGGATTTAAAGGTACAATTCAGACTCATTTAAGTATTACGCCTACGTGTAGTGGAATAAAGTTTATTAGGTTTTAAATTATTTAAATATTTACGTTTGTCTTTTTTTTACTTCGTCTTTGTTCAGGACGCAAATCAGGAAAGGGTTGCTACATCTACCAAGAAGGACGCAAAGACAAAGACGTCAACCCAGAGATGAGAGACATTCTTGAGAAATTCAGRATGACACCAAATCCTGCTGTGTAAGTCCAGATGTAACAATTAGAAAAGCAGAAATGCAGCAGGTGAAGTTCTCATTTTTTACAAAATGTTATCTACATGAGAAATCTAAAACTAAACATTGTGAAAACAAGCTACTGATTGATGTATTGATTTGATTCTGCCTAAATCTGGTCATTTTTTTCTCACTGAGAAACTGAAACCCTTTAACACTAAAACCTTATTTTTTTCAGTTCAAATGTTCAGATTGGGTTTATTGTTTTGCAGTTCATCAGACTCTGACGTTCAGCTGAGGCTTGTTTCACGATTCGTCAACGAAGCCTTGCTGTGTTTGCAAGAAGGTATCCTGCACAGCCCACTTGAAGGAGACATTGGGGCTGTGTTTGGACTGGGATTCCCCCCCTTCCTCGGAGGTGAGACTTTACCCAGTAACAGTGTCAGATTGGCTGCTTGTGCTCAATAATATATATACAGGATCAAAAAGCCTTCTGTGAGGACAAATGTCCAACACTTTTTCAGTTGTAAAATTATGGAACAGTTTCAGGGATAAAATGAACGAAAGTAAAACATAGAGACATTTTAAAAATATATTTGAAATTAACGTCATCAATAAGTTCAAAATCATCTTGAGTTTGGAAAAAGAAAGGTAAGAAAAGAGAAAACTTGAGCTCCTGTATCTTATCTGTCATTGTTCTTTTTTCTAATATTGGAATTTAAATATGTTGAATAATCTAAGTTTGTGTTCATAAAAATGAAAGACTAAGAAGGGTCGATGGGTAGGCCTGTCGCGATAGTCAATAAATCAATTAATCGCACGATAACTTTTTTTGTGGTCGGTAAAAAAAAAGGGGCCGATAAGTTTCATTTTCCTGCTTGTTTGTTT